ATCTGTCTATTGCTACCAAGATTACTTCAGTACAAAGTTTGGAAGTTCATTGAAGAGGTTTAACCTCATTTGTACATGATGAAAAGTCCTCCCTTGCTAATAATGTTAGTCAGTTTTGTTCACAGGAGTCTTCTAAGGAATATTTCTCTGGTATTATAAAAGTCACTGGCTGTTACTCTGTTGTGGGACACAGAGGACTTGATTTTTTTCAGTGAAAGATACTATATGTGTCTGCTTATGTTTACACTTTTAGCAGCACTTCAGGAAGTTCACAAGGCTGAGAAAGCAGTGAAAATACTACATTTTTATGTATTTATGTCAGCTCCTTTAAGTATTGTAATCAAAATTGCCTATTTGTTGCATTTGAGTTACATTTTCAGTCCTTTTCAAAACTGGTAGCTTAAGATGTTTCTCATCTATGACATTTGACTGTTAAAGATTAAGCACTTTTTAAATTGCATACTAAGTATAGAAATTTAGTTTATTTCTTTAGTAGTCATAGGCACCAAAATAAAGAAGCATAGTTCCAACATTGTCATCTGAAGCAGCTTTGTTGATGAAATGTCCTGTACTATGAATGTACATATTTTATACCTTGCAGTATGTCATTATGTGTGCTTCATTATAAATGCTGACCTGGTTTTATGTGCAGAATTTGTACATGGATTAGTAAAACATTGATTTTGCTTTTATAGGGTCCATTGCTATTTTCAAAATGAAAACTGTTTCTTCTGTTTGCTCTACATGAAGTCCTGAGCAAAACCTAAACCCATGTTTGCTTTTTCGTAGAGCAGAGAGGAGCCTTCAGGGGAAGTAGAGGTGGCCGAGGTTGGGGAGCCCGAGGAAATCGTAGTCGAGGAAGACTCTACTGAGTAACACATCACATTCTCCAAGCATTGTCATGAGCTTAATAAACCTAAATTCTACTACTCATTGGATTGCCGGGGATATCCCTTTAAAAGACTGCTGCCTTCAGTTAAAAACTTAATGTTCTTTATACCTTTGTATGTATGATCTACTTTTGTAATAGACCATGGTGTGTCCAAGGTAAAACCACAATATTTTTGGATGCTTTGTCTCAATCTTGTTTTTGCAATATCATTCAGATTTTGTATTGTTTACTTTTAAAACATCTGGATAATTTGTTATGGAGAGCAGTTTGCATCTAAAACTGAACCGAAGTTCAGTCTAGTTCTAATAATCTGGCAAAGATCATCAGTTTTGAAAGGTAACTGATTTTCTTCTCCCATCTTGGTTTTGTTGTCCAATATACGAAGAAGAGTAATCTCAACATTTTCCTTGTTATTTTAATTAATAAAGCTGTTAAGGCACATGTGCAGCATTCCCTCCTAGTGTCATAAAAATAGAATGCCAGCTTCCTTAAAACGTACAAGTGATGGTTAATTTTAGGAGGAAGTAAATTGCATTGCATTGCTTCCTTTACTCTTCTCCGTATACTGGAATACAGCTTTTAAATAGGGGAATCTTACTATTGGAATAGAAATGTGTGTGTATAATAAGCATGTATCTGTATGTATGTGTGTGTATACATACATATATATGTGCATGCTGTAAAAGGAGTACACAAATCAATATTTTAAATTCCAGGGACGGGTAGTCTTTGACATAGCGATTATCCTTTTGAGGCTGACTTTTCTAGGTTTTTCCTCTCCCCCTAGGCAGGAATTTTGAGTCAGTTGCACTTAAATGATTATTGTTATTTAAAACTAAAACCGGCTGTATTTTCAAAGATTTGGAGATCCCTGTTAGTAAAATACAGCCAAATCTGATGTGTATATAGGTTTCTACAGGTTGAGATAGTGTAATTTAGGATTTAAAGATTTAATAACTAGGGCTACCCACGAAAAGTGACTTGGTGGTAACATAGTACCAGTAAGTAAGGGAGGCTCTCTGTTTGCTTTTGCCACTTTCAAAACTTAACTTCTCAGGTTATTAACCAAATTATTGTATAAGTTAGCAAATAGAATCCTTAGATTAAAACAACAGATTTGTGGAGTGTCTAATGTCATAGACCCATTGCTCTGCATTTTGGTTATTTCATTTATGTTTGTTCCACGGTTAATCTTTCCCCAAATTTGCTATTAAAGTCAGATGCCCAAATGACATTTCTAGTAGTTGGATGTATTTTTGGAGGAGTAGTTTGTGATTACAATGCAGGTGTCTTCATTATCATTACTTCTATATTGGGAATAAACAGAATCCCTTCGTTAGAATGTACTGCACATGTCTATGGAGAAAATATTTCTTTAAAGCTGGAGTGATACAAGTGAGCCTAAGAAATTGGTCAGCTTGACTATGGAGTGATGGCAATAATCTCTATTAACATTCCAAAAGACTGAGCTGCACCTAGCTCCCTTGGAACCCAAACAGACATAGGAATATGGAATTAACATTTGCAGACTTCTGCTAGCTGGTCTAAACCTCAGAGAGATAAGCCAGTGACCTAAAGCCATTTCAGAAACTTAAGTTGGGGCCCTAGCTACATAAATTTGAACATTAATTGTAATGTTTTCCTCTTTTTTAAGCATATTTGTAAATTTAAAGCTGAACAAAAGTGACTTGACTTTCTCAAGTTTGATACTGATTTGACACTGTTCCTACCCTTAACACTGACTGCTCACCTTCCTTTTCCTAAGGCAATAGTTAGGGTTTTTTTGCCTCAAAAATTAAAATGAAAAACTTCACGCCATGGATTTTTTTCTTTTGCAGGACACCTGTTTATCACTTTGTTTAAATGTAAATGTTCCCTTACGCTTTTGAAATAAATTTCCTTTTGTAGTTTTGCGTCTTGATGTTTTGTAACTTCAGGTTCTTGAATATTTACTGATTGTGTCTTACGTTCCAAGAAGTGTATCAGTCCCTGAAAATACGTAAGACAAGACACTGCTTTGCCTTCAAGGAGTTCAGTCTTGCAAATTAACTGTATTGGGTTTATTTTTATAAATTGTGGCTATTTCATGAGCTAATACAGTCTTCTGGAAAAAAGTATTTGGTTCTTTTTTATCAAAGCAAAACATCAGAAACTTGTGAAATCATCATGAAATAAATCATTTCCATGCTTGAGTAATAGTTAAAGCAAGCTGGAACACATTAACTACCAGCCTTCACTAAAGTCTTCCTGGAAGGATGGTTACAAATGTTCAAAAGCCAAGGTTTAATCAAGTGGGTCAGGACAAGATAACTAAATCCACACACTTGTGGCTTTAAATACCATCTGTATAAGAACTCTGTCAAACTTTTTTTGCCTAGCATTTCATAGTCTCCTAATTCATCTCCCAGCTATTAATACCAGACTTCATACCACAGCCACAAAGACCCGACCACTTCTCTGCTCCAAGTTGTTTAGTGGTTCCCTATTTTACTCCTCCCCTTGGTCACTTCCTCTGCCGTTTGACATCATGCAGGCCAGCAAAGACAACTGTCCAGCCTCAGAGCCACCTGCCATCCCTCTAGCCATTCTTCCTTATATCCACATACCTCACCCCATCTCTTCAGGTCCTCAAGAATCCTGTTTAATGCTACAGTTCCTTTCTACCCCAAGGCGAGATTCCACTTGGCCTATTATATATTCTCTGTACTATTTACCAACTTCATGGCTTACATTTGTTTCTCCCACAAGAATACAGCTAAAATAGCACAAAAGCAAGTTTTGCATTTTGTTCTGTTAGAAACCAGCCTCTCCAACAGTACTTTATACCTAATAGGCTACGGTTCATAGTAAGTTGAAGATAATGTGGCACAGGGGAGGCAGCAATGTGTAAGATGAAGTCACGGCGTCTACAGCCTGTATCAAGCCTGACCAGCCTGAAAATAGCGTACTGAGTACTGTGAGGACACTGAAGCCTTCTAATGTGTGATGAGAACAGAAAGAATGGCCAAAGAAGGCCTCAGGAATTAATTCGCACTTGAGATCTGATGACTGAGGCAGCCTCCTTCAGAGGAAAAGCAGTTGAGATCACAACCCACAAGATGCTCGGCTTTCACCGTCATGCTAGCCTTAGCTAAAGAATGGCATCTCTCAAAACTTCCAGGTTCCGACAGTCTGCACCCCAGAACTTGTGAACTCCCAGCACTGTTAAAGAGCCCTGACCCTGGGATTTCTTGGGTTTGGTAAATCACTCTCCTGGTTTGCCTGTACATCAGGCTAACACTCAGGCCTGAGTACTTTTCCCCGGGCTCGGGGAGCCCTTCCCATGATCTCCACTGCCGTGCTTCTCTCTGCTTCACAAACCTAGGACTCTGTCGGGTGGCAAGGTTACCACTGAAACTGATTCTAATAGGCTCCAGGTGATGCCAAAGCCCTTCGTGCTCGACCTAGACCGGTAGCTTACCACAGTCACTAGGAACAAGTGGCCTTAAGCGCCTCAAACCCGGCCACCCCAAACTCAACCGATACACTGCTTTCCAAGACTCCGTAAAAACTGAAAGGTCCAGCAAACTATCTCTACCGTGTACAGACTCCACCTTGAACAAGCATTTTGTACACAGCACAACAGACTCCACACCGCGTTTTCCCGTCTTCATTCAGCCCGCGGCCGCGCGGAGCCCCCAGCGCCGCCCCATCCGTCACCGCCCACTCTGCATCTTCCCTAAGTGTGAGACGCAGGCTGAAAGCAACGCCTCTCCAGTTTCAAGTCACGCCTTATGTTTCCCAGCTATCTTATACCACTGGAAACAAATTTTAACATCTAAATGCAAGGATTTGGGTTTTTAAAAAAAGTGTCTCCTCACTTCGCCGTAAACTCCAGCTAGTCTACTGCTTTTCTCCCCTTCCGGTTCCCACGCTTAGAGTGCATCTCCTTACAAGAAAACAATAACCAAACAGCAGTTTCCAGCGCCGAGGCGCCGCTGGACAGGACGCTCGAGACCGCCCCAAACCGAGGCTGAGGACGCAGCTTGTCTGCGGGCAGCGCTCCCTCGGCTCCTCCCTCCTCGGCGCCGACCTGCACAAGATGGCGGGCGGCGGCCAGCCGCTTCCGCTTCCGGTGTGAGTTGCGGGGCCGGGGGGGGTCAAGATGGCGGCGGCAGTAGGGGTCCGCGGCCGGTGCGACCTGCCGCCTTGCTCTGGCCCACGCTGGCTTCTCAGTCTTTCCACTCTGCTGAGTGTAGCGGCTCGAGGTGCCTTCGCCACCACGCACTGGGTTGTCACCGAGGACGGAAAGATCCAGCAGCAGGTAGCGGCCAGGGCGTCCCTTGGCGCCCGCCCTCGCCCCGGGGGGAATTCCCCGGCCGGACCCCCGGGGTTTGGCTCCGCGCGGCCCCGCCCCCAGCCCACCTTCCCAGGGTCCCCGCGCGGCGGCCCGGGAGCTCCGAGCGCTGCGACCTGGCGCCGCCCCCTCCCCTCTAGCCGGCTGCTGGGAAGTTAGAGGCTTTGCAAGCAGGGGGCCACGCGCTGCGTGGGCAGAACAGCCCGTCCGTGGGGGCAGGGACCCTGGGACCTCCTCTCGGGCTTGGGCTCTGGAAACCATGTATTTTCTAACCCTGCTTCGGCGTCTCTGGCACCCACGCGTCACCAGTCCTCCCTGAGGAAGTAGAAAGCAGGTGGCAGCATTGGGTGCGCGCGAGTCCCAGGGCAGTGACAGCTAAGGTGCTGCTGGATGCGGGATCATTGCCTGCGCCTCGCCCAGCCTTCTGGTCCACAGGCTGGGATTCTGCCAGGTTTGGTGGTTTCAGCTTGTGCATTTGCCCCAGGCTACCAGGGGCTCCTTACGGACCTCACACACTGACTCCTCCCGAAGGAATGCTTGGAAGATGCCTCTTGTAGTGGTGCCTGCATCTTTTCCGCTGTAACTGCGCTCCTTCGTCAGTGTACTTCGCCCTGTTCCTTCACCTAGTTCCTGTGACCCAGCCCTCCACGGAGGATAGGCGACTTAATGGATTCTTGTGTGCTTGAACTAATTTCTCAGAGTTGAGCCCGCTTTTCTTATATAACTTTATGGCGACTGCATTTTGTTTGTGCCTCTGATGCCTACAGCATAGAGTGCGCGTGTGAGAGAGAGTGTATGTGTGTTCGTTCATTCAACCACAGAATCTTAGTGAACTTAAGTGATTTCTGGCACTTAACTATCCTGAAATGTAGAGCAGACGTTTAGAAATGAATAGTGGCCCCCACTCCGTGCAGTGTAACTCACAGATCCCAAAGATTCTCACCAATGTCCCGTGACAGCGTACGTGGGCTTTGGGTTGACTGTAGTGAATGGTGATAAGAACACATTACAAAGGTTACTTTTGTTTGAGGTTTAGATTTAGCGTTGACAGGTGATGGAAATTTTTACAGTGAGTGTTGAACAAATACAAGTTTAAAGTCTGCCTTTGTGTTTTCATTATGATCTCTTAGAAAACACTACCTTTTCATAGCTATATCAACCTAGGCTTCAAATACACATCTGTGTGTCTTAGAGACTCTAGAATAAACACTGTAAATTCTTCTTCTTGACTTAAGATTGGAAATCTTACATTAATCCTGGTTGCTTCCACTTTTTTTGCTTCTGGATGATGGTTTTCCCTGAGGCCTTCATGGAGGGAGGCAGGAGTGGAGTTAAGTCACTTCTGCTGCAATTGGGGGAGCCTTTCTCCTATTGGCTCTTTTGCTATATTGTTTTTTGGCCACAGCTATTTATATTCTACGACATTGACTTCTCCTTGCCATTTTGGTGTCCTGCCACTCTGCTGAAAAAGTAGCCTATTGAAAAATGAAAGCTGGTGGAAATGTTTTATTTATATGCTGATTATTGCAATGGGAAAGTAAAATCTGATTTGGCTTCATTTAAAAAAAAAATTCCTAGTGCACGTTGAACACATGTTTCAGTAGGGAAACACGGGGGTACTGGTAACTTACCTCAGAGATGGGAGAATCTGAGAACATTTGGATCTCTGCCAAGGCACCCCTGCAATAAGTTCTTAGGCTTACAGTTAAAGAAGTAGGATTTCTTTGTGTGGTTTTTAATAATCCTTTTCATTGAATTTTCCAATACTTTGCTATATATAGCATTTGCAGCATTAAATTCACGTAGCCATGAAATTTTATACCAGAAGAAATAAAGTTCCTGTTTGCAGTGTAACAACAAGAGGCCAGAGAAAGGGAGTAGGATTTAATCTGAGGCAGAAAAATCAGTATGTACAAATAAACCCTGAGTTGGATAGCATGGTCAGCTTCTGAATTCCACTCTGATAACTGTGCATTAGTCATGCATCCCTTCCTGGCAATAATTTGAATGCAGGCAAAATCCAAACTCCATTTAGATTGCAATTAATTATCACATTTGGGTATACTGAAGGAATTGAAAGATACCATTAGTGCATAGGTTTGGGTGTTCTTCACTGTACATTCAGAAACATACTTAACTAAAAACTTAATATACGTACTGTGTACTAGGGCTGGGAATGTAGCTTATTCGCAGAACTCTTGCCTGTCCTGTTCAAGAGCCTGGATTGGATCGCCAGAACAGGGAAAAAGAGGTCAGCCTCCCCAGCAGTGAGGCAAATTGAGTGGCAAATGCCACCCTGATTGAAACTCTGTCTGATTTTCCAATTTGCCCAAATTAAATATGATAAGTGATTATTTTCCACATTGAATGCCAGGAAGTGTTTATAAATTAAAATCAGAGTTGCCCAAGTTACAGATTTAAGTAAGGACATTTTTCATCATTAAACTTATAAGTACACAGAGCTAGGGATGTAGCACAGTAGTGGAGAATTTACCACAGCGTGCAGAAGGGTCTGGGTTTAGTCCCCAGCTCAGCCAAAAAAATAAACTCAATAAAAATGTTTTGAGTACAGCCAGAAGTCTTTCCCAGGAGAAGTGAATATTCATTCGATTTTTATATTTTAAAGCCTAGCATACATTAAAGATAGGCACCCACCAGCTACATATTGCAGACTTGTGAACATACATGTATGTTAGAAACCTGTATCTGTGGGTGGGTTGAAATGGGGCTTTCTTCAGATTGTACATTACTGTGGGCAGCCTCTTCACAGCCAAAGCTAGGGCTGTTGCTGGCACAGTAGGTGTCAAGTACTTCTCGCTTTAGAGAATTGTTTCCACACTTCTTGCCTCAGCTAGGGAACTTACATCTCTAGCACCCCACCCCCAGTTTTTAGATACCATGTTTCTGAGCTGCCACTGAATTCCCATTGAATCCTGGACCTGAGATGTAAACACACAAGAGATCACCATGAGTTCAAGGCCAGCCTGAACTACACACAAGGTCCTACCTCCAGCAACAAAAAGCAAAACAAAATGAGTTCTGTTAGCTGGTAACTAGATTGTGGAACATAAATTTTTCCACAGGAGTTGAGCAGTCTTGGCACAGGACTCGTTGATAAGTAACTATTTCAGCAACTTTGACCCAAAGAAGAGCTATCAGATTGAGTTAGAGAAAGGCTAAACCTCAATCTATTAATCTTTGACAGGTTATAAGTAGAGGACTGGTTTAATTTTGGGTCTGATGTTAAGTAATTTGATTAATCCAAGAGCGGGCATCATATGGACCTGTGAAATCAACAGCTTTACTTCAGCACTTTTGAAAAGGAAACCATCTTTTTGTTCTAAAGCACTGTTTCTGTTTATACACTTCAAAAATCTGGACTCCTGTTAAGCCTTGTCAGTGGTATCAAAGTGATTCTCATTCAGTCTGTTCGCCTTCAGATAGCCACTCTTATAAATTATCGAGGTACTTGTATATGGAAAGTAGTAAGGGCAACTTGGAAATACACAGAGATAAACTATAACCTTAAATAATTTTCCCAAGCATTTGTTAAGAAGATATTTATCAGTTGCTTGCTTTTCACCAATCCATTGTGCTTTGATGTGTATGTTCTTTTCCGCTGACTACCAACATGAGATTCTCATTTCTCTCTTGAGACAAGGGAAGCTCAGCGCCGTAATCATCTTCCCTTCTCCCTCCACTTGGCCTCTAGATCAGTGCTTCTCAAACTTTACTTTGCTCAAAAGTAATCTGGGATATTGGCTTAAAATGCAGATTCCCTGGTCACCACGAGTATCTGATTCAGTAGGTTTGTGGTGGAACCACAAACTTTTATGAGATTTCTCAGGAGAGGGTGACCCAGTATCATTTTCAGAATTTAGTTTTAGATATTGCTGTTTCCCCAGCTTCTCTTCTAGCCTTCTCTCTCTACTCTCTACATATACCTGGGCAACCTCATCATATATATATATATATATATATATATATATATATATGCATACATATATATACATACACATATATATACTATATATGTATATTATATATAGTATCTATATATAGTATCTGAAATTCCAGATACTAGATATATATACAGTATATATATAGTATCTAAGGATGAGGATATCTAAGTTCTAAGGATGAGGTCACCCAGATGTGTGTATATATATGCCTGAAATATCCATATTTCCTACTTGTCTTCAAAGTTACATATTTTTGACCTCTACTATTAACTTTGAATTCTGTGTGACTACCCTTTAGATACTTCAAGCTTAAAACAACTAAATCATAAACTTGTTTTACTCCCAAACCTGTGTCATGTATTACTTTTCCTAATTTGGTGAAAGACCAGCACTCGCCACCCACCCATTTGCCTGTGTCAGAATCCAGTTGTCATCTTTAATTTTCCCTCCTCCTCCTCCTCCTCTTCCTTCTCCTCCTCTTCCTCCCTTAGCCCTGGCCACCGTCTTCCCGTTTTATTTTATACCTTTCTGCCGTTGCTGTTCCCACACCTGTCACTGTCACTGTTGCTTTAAATCAGGCCACCTCAAGCCCGCTGCAGCTTTCTGACAGTTGCCTTGCCCCTAGGCTTGTGCTGCTCCCAGTCCACCTTCCTAGCGCAGTTACAGTAATACCATTGTTAAAAGCCTCTCTGTTCGAATTTAAAATTTTGCCCTGCAAAACTGAGGCACGGCGTTGGAAAAGTCAGCCTGTAATATTGTAAGAGCATTTACAGTGATGAAGAGCCCCCGCCCTTCCCACCTGGGTGCACATCCCAGGATAGGAGCTAAACTCTTGCCCCTCTTGTGACTTACCTTCTTCCGTTTTAGTCTCAGCCGCACACCCTTAGGTTCTCCTTTGCCTCCAGGCCTTTACACATGCTGCTCTTTCCTCCAGTCCCCGGTCTGGCTAGTTCACACCCCTCACAGCTTACACGGTACCCTTTCAGGGAGGCTTTCCTAACGCCC